ATGGAGGGGACCCTGCGTGCCTGAACTGCTCCAGCTGAAACCTGGCCCATCTCCTTCCCAGGATGCACAGAAAGCCAAACCACTCACTCACAAGCTTTTGGAAAAGAGAGCAGCAAGAAACTTCTGTATTCATGACAAACAGCTCCAATTAGAATATATGACCTACAACTATTTTGCATTTAACTCAACTGCACTTTTAAATTAGGTTTTTACTGTTTGAACAAAAACATATAAAAACACTATAGATTATATTGTTTTTTAAAAAATTATTTATTTAGGTAAACTAATAAGAAAAAAAATGCAATAAACCCTAGGGTGGCTGGTCACACCACACCGTCACCACAGCAGTAGCCAGGTCTAGCCCCACCTCAGTGTGACTGGAACACCCTTTATGGGCCCCCTGGCCTTGTGCAGAGCTCCAGTTCATTCCACATGGGAACCCAACTCCTACCCTCTAGCCAGGCGAACCTCACCCTTCTATTCTCAGTGCATGCTCCTCTGCTGGACCTGCTGCAATCACAAGATTCCCAAGGTGACAGTTCACCTTTTCTCACATTATACATGCAAGGAGTGACACAGACCAACCTTCATAATTGCGTTTGATGCCAAACATCTGAGTGAATACACCATTTGCCAGTTGTTACATACTGAAGTTTTTCTATGAGATTTTACACACACACACACACACACACACACACAGAGCTATACTGGAGATGGAACCTAGGCCTCACACATGCTAGGCAAGCGCTCTATCACTGAGCACAACCCCAGCCCCATGACATACTTTTGGTAATGGTCCCTGTGAGCATCTTTGTGTAATAGGCTCTCCACCACAGTTATTCTTAATTTATACGGCAATAACAGAATTGCTGTGGTAGTATTTCTGGGTCAGAGTATGAAGGGATCCTGACTCCGCCAAGCTGCCTACACACTGACACCACTTACACTCGGGCCACCATGCCTAACATGCACCCAGCGGCCCCCTCCCTCAATTACACTAACTGCCAAAGGGAGCCTGCTGTCCTGGAAGCACCGACCACTGCCTTTTTCATGAACAGACGCCTCTTCGCTAACCCAGCAATGCTGCCCAGTAAGGCCACGCCTTCCATTTCCAACAGGCGTGGACCAGGGAAGGGCTGCTGTTCCAGGCACTTCAAGCGTTCTACACTCACATCAGCTCTACCAAGGAGGGACCCCCTCAGTTTAAGTGAGGAAGCCGAGGCTGGAAAAGACAAAAGGCCTAGCCCAAGGTCACAGGCTGGCACGATGTGGATCTAGGACTCCAAACTAGATCCTTCCATCCCTCCCTACGAATGCTAAACAATTCACCTGGGCTACAATTGGCTAACCTAACCAATTCACATTTGAGCTTCAATCAGGGTCAGTCGGATTCCTGCTGTTCTGCTAAGAACTTCCCAAGAAGTTCACTGTGTCTAGAAAGGTGAGAACATTCCTTTTCTACCCTGTTCACCAGCTAGTACCAGGATGCGTGCCCAAGAGGTACACAGGATACACAGACACTCCAGCAGACACGGGAAGGCCCCCCTCCAGCCTGTCAGACTCCACCAACTCGCACCTTTACCATTGTACTTGGCAACATCATGAAAAGGCTTGCAAAGCCTGACACGCTTCCCTCTCAACAGCAACAAAGTGCCACATCAAGGACAGAAAAACAGGCCAATGCACTTAAACGATGGAAAGGAAAATAATTCTGAATGACTAAAAACCAACAAACTGACCCAGAACTCGAGGCCTAGGACAAAGCAGACCCAAGGAGCGAGCAGTGTGGCTCTGCGTCCCCTCCCTCCCTCCCCACTCCCCAGCTGCAGCCTTCCTCTACACTCAGCTGCAGCAATCACGGGCGAGAGGCGGCACCCCGGGCCCTGGGCCTCTGCCTCTGCATTTATGCCCCCCCCCACACACACGGACTGTTTCACCCGCTGTCTGCTGTGGGACCACCAAATCAAGTGACTAAACACTGCTCCCTTGACATAGGAGGACAATGACATTTATAAAGAAGCTGGACTTCACTTCGGTTTCATCACCAGGAATTATTTTGTTATAACCATTCCACATTCGGTACCAATTTCAAAACATCATATTTATTTGCCAATCAAAAAGAAAATAAAGCAATCAAGTTAGATTGCGGAAGGGACAGCAGGCAGAACAGATTTTCAAAAGAATGCGGCTGTTCCCTCCCAGGGCCAACAGTCTGCTTTTACGGATCAAAACACCACAGTGATCTTTTTTTACTCAGCCGTACCCCCTCCTGCAACACTACTACTTATGAATTAATTTCCTTTTATCTCAACATAAAGTTTTCACAGGAAAACATTTGAACTTTTACAGAAAACTATACAACACTGAACTGTAATTTTTACCTGAAAACAGTCGATAGCCAGAATAACAATGTAATTTCACATTGGGTTCCTTTGAAAGACAAAGGCATGAGCCTTAGAGTGTGGTCACACTTCACAAAACCTCAGTCTGAACAGTTACTACCTATCACCAAAGAGATTCAAAGGTTCCCAGTGCCTGCCCGCTAGATAACTAACTGATCAATCAGCAACAGTGGTTAAATTAACCCTAGAGCATGAAGTGGCGCAGGTGAAGCTGAGGGTGGCAGGCCACCTACTGATCCTGGAGAGTGTGACCAGCCTTGGTTCAGGTCCAACTCTCCAAGAGCACTGGCTCATACTGTAGCTTAGGACTATGTTGGAGGGACAGAGGAACCATCCATGCCAAGAAAGAATCAGGACCCCCCACAGGACATCCCAACACCTACCTACAAGCCTGGTCAGTGCGTGAGCCCCAGCAGTCCAGATCTCATTTCATTGCCCCGGTCCACAGCTCCTTTCCCAAGCCATCACCATTCCCTAGCATCTTAAGTCAACCAGGTTGTTAGTTAAATATGTCAGCAGACAAGTTAACAAGTAATTAAACAGCCAGGTAATCTGTGTAAATTTCCAAACTATGGGAGAATGCAAACCAATATACCCTTCATTAACAAAATGGGGGAGGGAGAGTCAGATCCTAACGCACACAGGTGCTCTTGAAATTATGCTGAAACTAAATCCAACTGCATTTAATTATCTAATTTATACATACCTCCCTTATCTTCTGACACACATATGTGGTAGTGAATAATAAGATAATTTTTTTTTTCAATTCACAGATACAGCTGAGCAAGGTGGCACATGCCTGTAATCTCAGCTACTCAGGAGCATCACAAGTTCCAGATCATCTGGGCAACTAAGAAGTCTGTCCCAGAATAAAAAATAATAATGCTGGGGGTGTAACTGGTGGTAGAGCACTTGTCTAGCATTATGGTGCCCTGGGTTCAATCCCCAGTACTGCAAAGTCAACCAACCAACCAGACACACGTTACAGGTAAACCAAGACTGGCAAGTAGGGTATTGTTGAAGCTAAGTGATGGGTATAGGATCACTATTGTTCTTGAAAAGGATGAAACTTTTTATTATAGTGTTAGAAATAATGACTAAGCAGTACATTTGTCATCCCATCAAAGAACAAATTCCATGAAGGCAGGGACACTATCCTGCTCAATGCAGTAGTTCCAGGGCCCAGCACAGGATCTGGCATGAGATGGCCAGGAAATTGCTGTCTAATAAATCCACTGCTGTTAAGTGACAGCTGCCTATTACCAGCATACAGCATGGCACCAGAGACCCCATTCAAACTTCAGCCTGTCCCAAGCACCTTTCTCAGGACACAGAACAGACATTCCCGTGGTCATACCTGCTTACAAGATCTACTGAAATAACCACCAAACACTCCACTTTTACTGAGGCATGGTCTTCCGTGCTACACTCCTTTTTCTATGTGTTTCTTGGCAATTCATGAGAATCTGATGTTCAAAAGTTTTCTCAATCCAGTACTTAAAAGATCTTGGCATTCTTGTCAGTAAGCCATTTCCTCTCCATCCTATTTCAAATTACAACCACCCAAGACTCCACTCTTATCTTTTTCTCAAAAGCACCTCCAACCATGTAACTTGCTTGTCTGTCTCCCACTGCAGACATGAGAGCAGGGTCTTAGATCCTGTGTTATTCAGTGGAGACCCCAATACCTAGAACTGTGCTTGGTACTCATGAGAAAACAAATACATAAGAAGACACAGCCAGGCGCAGTGGTGCACACCTGTAATCCCAGAGGCTTGGAAGGCTGAGACAGGAGGATCCAGAGTTCAAAGACAGCCCCAGCAACTGCAAGGTGCTAAGAAACTCAATGAGACCCCGTCTCTAAATAAAGTACAAAATAGGGGTGGGGATATGGCTCAGTGGTTGAGTGCTCCTCAGTTCAATCCTTGGCACCAAAAAAAAAAAAAAAAAGTAGATACAAATCACTGAAAGCCACCTCAGAATAACTGAGTAAACAAGTACTAACGTAAGTATATACTTATAAAACTTGAACAGAAGGTACAGAACTATCTTTCTCCTGCAACTATTAAACAGAAACTATCTCACCTTGTTTTTGAATAGGCTTTTCTTTTCCCTCTGGACATGGGAGGAAAGCACATTTGAAGAGGTGGCAGAGTACATTTTACACAGATTAAGAATTTAAGGCTACATAGAGCAGTCAAGATGAAGAGTAAAATTCACAGTGATTTTTTTGTAGTTACAATAGTACAAAGCTGTAATGTCCCTCCTTTTACTAAACACTCAAAAAATTTAAAATTTAACTACAGACAGAGCAAAAGCAACAGGACTTTCCCTGAAGCAGGCAGGGTAGAAAACAACTGTCAGGTGAGAACAAATCTATGCCATCCCAAACTTTTTCTTAAAAACGTCCTAACAGGTCTGGGGTTAGTGGTAGAGCGCTTGCTTAAATTGTGAGGCACTGGGTTTGAGCCTCAGCACCACATACACAAAAATTTCTCCACTAGCTACCCATCAATAAGGGTCTCCCACTTATTACATATGCCCCCCAAAGACAAACCCCCTGACTCATTCAGGGAGGCTCCCAATTTGCTAACAATCATGAGGCCCATGCAAAGTAAGCAGAGACCGGAAGAGAACAGTTTCCTGCCATTCCACATCAGCTACTTCCTATCACTGCAGTGGTACAAGAGTCAAACTAAGATGGGCCTTCTATTCTGGGTGCCTAAAACACACTTGTCTTAAACAAAAAGCAAGGATTCCTTGGCTAGCAAACTCTCAGCAAGCTCAAGGTCCTAACTGGAATGACTGGATCCCAGCAACACCCAATCTTCCCACTTCACATAGCTGATGATCCGAGGCCATAGGGAGTGTAGTCCTGAGGACTGAATGAGGGGCACTTTACCACTGAGCTACACCTCCAGCCTTTGGTTTTGTTTAAAGACAGGGTCTCACTAAATTGCCCAGACCAGTCTCAAACTTGTGATCCTCCTGCCTCAGCTTCCAGAGTCACTGGGACTACAGGCCTGCTGCATGTGCCACCAAGCCTGCCGGCCTTGGAATTCTTTGGCAAAATTTTTGGAAGCACAACATAAACTTATCAAAACAGGTTTTAAATTGCAAACAACCAAAAAAAAAACAAGCCCCTCTGAACTCCACTGTGCTCACACATTCATATTTGAGATTACCTCCTCCTAATGCTAGACCATCAACTGCTCAAAAGAAGATGTAAGATTTCAATCCTAGGCTACTAAAAATAAAAACCCTGGTAAGCTAATGGATTTTTTCCCCCTTGGAGTAAAGGCTCTCGCTATGTTGCCCAGGCAGATCTCAAACTTGTGGGCTCAAGCTATCCTCCCACCTCAGCCTCCTGAGTAGCTGAGGACACAGGCATGCACCACCATGTCCAGCTTAGTGGAAATAAAGTTTGGGATTCACCTACAAACTCAGACTGTAAAGTGGCAAACAATCCCATCTCAAAGAACTTAAGTCTCTATAGAAGTATGAAATGCTTCACACAGGTAAACTCCTCTAGCTCACTGTCTAACTGGCCAAGTCACAAAGCCATGATGTCTTGTAAGGTGGGAGGGAAACATCTCAGAACCTACGTATTCTTAACCAACAAGTCAACCTACACAAGTATGGAACGGAAGAGTGTCACTAGAAATGGGGAAGAGCAAGAGAAGTGGGACAGAAAAATATTAAGAGGGATTTTTAGGGAGTGGGAAGGGTGCTGGGGGTGGGAGAGAGTAGATCAGTGGATGTGCAGAATGAATGCACAATGGATGGATGTATAGAAGTATCACAGGGAATACACCAATCTGTACAACGTGCAGTGACTGTAACAAAATAAGTAAAACGTATGCATTCTTTCTTAGAATTCAGTTGACCAAGTTTATCAAACCTGAAAATGATAAAACTGGCTACTGTTAAGAATTCGGCCAATTCCTCCAATTACTATTCCACATTCTTTCTGAAAAATACAGGATTCTAATACAACAAAATGAAAAAAACTGGTTTTTAGATGCAATGATATATGGACACAGACAACAGCAGACATTCTGAACCAATGACACTGCTCAGACTGGGGAAAAAACAGACTGCCTAATAAGTTATCTGAGACAGCAGTAAAGCGTGCATAAAATCACACGGTGAGTAGAGGCCTTGAAATTCAGGCGAAAGTGTCCCTGTGGAAATTTGGGAAGGTTATAATTCTTATACCTACCTAATCTATAGATTGATCTCTCTCATAAACAATTATCTTTACAACAGCTTTGCGGACCAAAAATCTGCAGGCTTGGCCCCCCCCACCCCCCAGCACTATGTCGGATTCTGGACTTCCAGATTAGGGAAGCTCTTCTGGCAAATCCGTGCAAATATTCCAAAATCGGAAAAACTCCAAGACCCGCAGCAACACCTCTGGCCCCAGCGTTTCAGGTAGGGGGCACTCGCAAACCGTGACGCGGCGGGTTCACCGGGCCAGGCGACCCGGCCGCCCCAGCACAGCCGCTGCAGGAGGCCGGGCTCCGCGCGCGCTCGGGCCGCCGCGGCAGCGCACGCACCCGGCCACGGGAGCCGCCGGGCAGGCGCAGAGGTGGGGCCGCCGCTCGCGCCGCCCGGCCCGGACCCACGGACGGCTCGGGCGGCCAGAGCGCGCCCCGCCCCGGCCCCGGCCCGCCGCCCGGCCCCGGAAGCCCAGCCCCGCGCCGCCCGAGCCTGCGCGGCGCCGGCGGGGGGCGCGGGCCGCACGTGCGCGCGGGCGGCGGCCGCGGCGCGAACAAAGCGCGGCTGACCTTCACCGGGCGGGGCGGCGGGCGCCGCGGGGAGGAGCGCGGGACGCCGTCCGCCCCGCCGCCGCCCGCCCTCCGCCCGTCGCCCCGAGCTCCGCCGCCACCCCGACCTCCCGGCCGCCCGGCCGCCCGCCGTTACCCGCAGACGCCGCGCGCCCGCACCTCGCGCCTCCTGCGGCAGTGGCGGCCGTGCCTTCGCTCGCTCCGGGCTGCGCCGCCGTGGCCGCCAACAACGCCGCCTCCGGTTGGCCGCGCCGCCTGGCTCCGCCCTCAGCGAGCAAGGCGGGCTACGATTGGGCGAACGCAGCGCAAGTCAACTGGGCCTCGGCGCCGCGCGCGGGGACCAATCAGGGGGTGATGAGAGGCAGGGGCTCCGCGCAGCGCTCAGGCCCGCGAGCCGTATGCAAATCGGGTGTGTGACGTCGGGTAGCCCCGCGTCCTGTGCGCTCTCCCGCCGCCACTCAGCACGTGGCGGCTGGCGGCCGCGCGGCTGTAGGCTGTTTTCCAGCTCAGCCGCAGCAGCGTCCGCGCCCAAGTGCGTGGCGATGCTCGGCTGTGTCCCCAGGTCTGTAATACTTCCCTAGCGGCTCTTCAAAACTTCCATTTCTCCTGGCGCGATGGCGCACGCTTGTCAACCCAGCGGTTCCGGAGGCTGAGGCAGGAGGAACGAAAGTTTGAGGCCAGTCTCACCAACTTAACGAGACCCTGTCTCAAAAAATAAAAAGGACTGGGGATGTGTCCCAGTGATTAAGCGCCCCTGGTTTCAATCCCTGGTAACAAAACAAAACTTCCCTTTTCTTTGGGTGATGGTGCTTCTGAAACTACACACGTACACACACATAAATCCTACCCCCCGCACCGGGTTTTCACTGTGCTAACGAGTTTATAGTGGAGGACGGGGAGATTTTAAAACCATCTGCAGACTCCTGGCAGAGGGGTGAAGGGCACGGGTTGCTGCAAAGCCCCTCGGGGCCGGAAAAGCAAGGCGAGCCCCCTGCAGGAGCTGGGTGTCCACCCGGGCCTGGGCCTGAGTGCCACCTGGATTCCTTAGTGCGCCTTAACTGCCGTCCCACTTTTCCATAATGACCATGCAGTGCTCTTGTCGACAGCGGGAAAGGAAGCACAGACCGACCACGAAGGAAAAGAACCTGGAGCCTGCTCCAGTGTGTCTCCCCTACTCCACGGTCTCAGGTGCACCTGCCTTCATTGGTTCTGGCCCTGCCTGGATGTGGGGGTTGGTGTGGGAGGCACCAGGTGGGGGAGCCTCCCAGCTGAACCCTTGGGAGGCCTGATGGAGGCGGGATGGGTGGTGGGGGTGGTGGGGGTGGTGGTTCTTTCCCCAGCGTCACTTCTGTGATGTGGTCACTGGTTTCCTCTGGCCACCACAAGAAAGTACCACAAACTGGGTGAATGAAACAGGCATGTCAGACCTCTGGTTCTGGAGGTCAGGAAGCTGAAATCAAGGTGTGACGCAGCTGTGCTCCCACGGGGACACTGGGTGAGGGACCTTCCTTGCCCCCTGGAAACTCCTGGTGGCTCCAGGCATCCTTGATTGTAACCCTGCCACTCCCAACTCCTCCGTCTTCATATGGCCTCCCCGTGTCTCTTCTTTATGAGGATGCCAGTCACCAATCAAGATGTACCCTAGGGATTCCATCTCAGTGTTCACACCTACAAAGAACCTACTGCCAAATGTCACAAGCCAAGACCTATGACTTGAATGTAGCCTTGGGAAGCCACCATGCAGCCCCCCATCACAAGGGGGGGGGCACTGTGCCGGTCACCCCTGCCACTGGGCTGTGTAGAAGGTAGCAAGGGTTAAAGGGCAGGGATTCCTGCTGTACAGATTCTAGCTGGGTGACCCTGGCAAGTGCCCTGCCCGTCTCCCGTCTCTGAAGTGTCGTACCTGCTTCACACGGGCACAGGCACTGAGTGAGCAGCCAGCTTGATGCGGCCTCTGCTGTCCTTACCACCCCTTCACTCGGGTAGTAGGACACCTTTGGGACGGGAGAGGAAGCAGACCCCCAGGCTCAGCCTGCCCTGAGCTTTGGGGTGCATCTAGTCCTACACAGGCCCCGGGCTCACAGTGAACATGTGTGGCAGCTGGGAGCAGCTGCTTGCTGAGCCCAGGGCTGAACCCGAAGCTCTGAGGGGCTAAAAGACTGGCTCTTGGGTCTGCCTGGGGCTGGGACGTTGGACCCAGGAATACACCTGCCCGTGCCTGGAGATGTGCACCCTCCAGGTGGGCCCCGTGGGTTTGAAAAGCAGGCCATGAATGTCACACGTTCTTTCTGCTCACATCTTCCCTTATCAGCACCCTCCAGTCACTTGGGTATTGAGGATGGCCACCCCCTCTGAGAGGCTTTGCTCCCACCCAGTGCCACCTCCCTTTTATTTCCATCAGGCACTGCTGCCTGCGTCCTTCACTTGTCCCCACCACTAGAAAAGAGCAGTGTCAGCAGGCTTCCAGGGGTAAGGCTGATGGGGCTGAGAGCTGAGGACCTACGGAGTGACCAGCTGGGCTTGGCGTGTGGAGCCTGCCCGGCCAGCTGCATACTGTGTTCTGGGACCTGTAGATAGCTCAGGGTGGCTCATGTCCCTACAGATAGTGTGGGGGAGCCCACAAGGGAGGTGTCCCCCGTATGACAGGGATTGGGGGAGGGGCAGGTGATACCTGGGTGAGGCTGCAACTAGGGAATTGTGGGCAACGTGTAGGTGGCCCAGGGGGCCCGTTCCTCTTGCATTCTCTCAGGTCGGTGCATGGTGGGTCTGGGACCCCCAGCAGAAATGGGAGTGACCCCGTGAAGGGGGTTGTTTGCAACCTGGAAAATGCCGTCTGTTCTGAAATTAGGTAACAATCATTACTTGCCTGCACAGTGACTGCATGATCTGTTCTCCATTTTAGTCTTGGATGAATTTTTGATAAGTATTTTTATTTTTTTGGTACTGGGGATTGAACCCAGGGGCACTTAAACACTGAGCCACATCCCCAGCCCTTTTTTATATTTTATTTAGAGACAGTCTTGCTGAGTTGCTTAGGGCCTTGCTAAGTTGCTGAGGCTGGCTTCGAATATCTCATGATCCTCCTGCCTCAGCTTCCCAGCCACTGGAGTTACAGGTGGGTGCCACTGCACCACCTCTATGTTTCATTTCTTCATTTATCTATTTAGTGGGCACCAGGGATTGAACTCAGAGGCACTCGACCACTGAACCACATCCCCAGCCCTATTTTGTATTTTATTTACAGACAGGGTCTTGCCAAGTTGCTTAGTGACTCGGTTTATGTTGAGGCTGGCTTTGAACTTGCGACCCTCCTGCCTCAGCCTCCTGAGCCGCTGGGATTACAGGCGTGCACCACCGCACCTGGCATATTTTTAATAGACACACAGTAATAATGGGTGTTGATGGGGTCCAGTGGCATTTCCATGCCGGGGGGGGGGCAATGTGTACTGATCAGGTCGGGGTCACTGGCGTGCCCACCACCAGTTCTGTGTGCGGGAGCGTGAAGACCCTCTCTGTGCCAGCTGTCGGGAAGTGCTCCGTTGCCGCCAGCCAGTTCCTCCGCTGTGCTGTGCCATGGCACTTTAGAAGTCAGTCCTCCTGCCCAGCTGCACCCGGAGCCCGTGTGCCTCCTCTCTCCAGCCACCCTCCCCCACCCTGCCCGGGCTCTGTGGCCACTGCCTCACTGGCTGCTTTGGGACCCTGCTTTAGCTTCTGCGGAAGTGAGCACGGAGCACTTGTCCCTGTGCCTGGCGTGTGTCACTGTGCTCAGGTTCTCTGGTTCCCTTGGTTTCGTGGCACATGGCAGGACGCTCTCTGTGGCTGAGCGCTCTTCCGTGACGCTTTTGCACTCACACCCAGGAGGACTCCTTATGGATGGCCGCAGAGGGCGCTGCGCAGGGCCTGCACATGCGGTGTCTTCAACGTGCCAACGTCAGCTCTGGTGGTTCTGGGGAGCGGGACAGCGGTCCCGCACAGTTCTGTTTCCGTGTTCGAGGGCCCTCCGTGCTGCTCCCACGATGTCCCCAGCAGCACTGTGCCAGGGCTCCCTTTTCTCTACATCCTCAACTGCGCCTGTTGTGTTTTGTCTTTCATTGTCGCCATCGGATGGGGGCGAGGACAGCTCACGGTGCTCTTGATGTGCCTTTCCCTGTGCCCGCGTTTTCCAGGCCCTTTCCGTATCTCATTTGGCTCTTGGGTGGATTTATTTCCATAAAGCACTAAGTCGTTTCTCTGCTACAGGGAATAGTGACTTATGAGACTGGTGTCTATTTCCTGTGGCTGCTGCAAAGTATCACAAACCAGGGGGCTTGAAGCCACAGTGGTCCCTTCTCTCAGCTCTGGGGGCTGGGAGTCGCAATCCAGGCCTCAGCAAGGCTGGGCTCCTCCCAAGGATCCAGGCAGGACCACAGCCTGTGTGCCCCTCTTACACAGAGCCAGTCACACTGGATTTAGGGCCCCCAACTCTAAGATGACCTTATCTTCACCCATCTAATCACACGTGCAGACCCTATTTCAAAAAAGGTCACATCTGCAGGTCCAGGATGAACATGAACATGAACATGGGGACCCTATTCAACTCAGTACAATGCCCTGAGAATCTGGTGCTTCTCTTGTGTCAGTGGCCATTCTCAGGGGACATGCCCCTGTGGGGTGAACCCTTTGCCTCAGTGGGGCTGCAAATTTCTGGACATTCCATATTGAATGCTCAGAGCTGCTAGGCTGAGATTGAGGCCTGACCCACTGCTGTGGGAGGGGACAGGCCTCTTGCTGACCACCCTCACTGAGAGCCCCTGCTCTGCCATCCACAGGGGCCAGACACCCACAGTGGCCGCTGCTCTGGCCCCAGAGGACAGTGTGGTCCGGGCATTTTGGACCCGTGTCTGAAGATCTCAGGAGCCGGCTGAGCAGGTTTTCCACTTCAAACCCAACACCCAGAACATGGGAACCAGCCCGTCTCCCTGAAGTCCCTGGTCCTTCCTGGAGACGCTGGAGTCGGGGCATGCTCACTTCTGCTCCTGAGCCCTCAGGCTCCAGGCTCTGGTGGTGCTAGAACAAGGCCCTTGCTTAGAGCCCAGTCATGCTGGACTCGGGGGACAGAAGCCTGCCTGGCTAGCCACTGCCCACTCAGCCCAGGTCCCTTTCACCTGGAGGGTCCCTGTTCTTCCTGAACTAAGCCACGCTCCTGCCTGGCCCTCCATCTCAGCTGTCCTCCAGCTGTGGGTACCCAGGGAGTCTGCCACCCCTGCCTTGTCCCCTAGTCTCCCATGAGCTCCGTCCCTGCCACCTGCTGCTGTAACACTGACATGAGGGCAGGAGAGGGGTGGGTCTTGGTGTAAAAACCCCCAGATGCTGCTTAAGTGCGGTGGCTGGGGAGCCCTGGTATCAGACTCCCAAGGTGGCCCCGGGCTCCTGGGCACGGAGGGTCTCACCCCGTGGCTCTGGCTCTGCACCAGCAGCCCTCCCAGGTGCTGCCACCAGCTGTGGCCGTCAGCAGCCCTTTTCCTCTTGGGTCCTGCCACCCGGAGCTCAGGGAACCTGGCCTGTGCTGTGCTCCTGGACTCCCTGTCCTTGCAGGTGGTCCCTCAGGCGGACTGAGCTCTGGAGGCAGACCGGCATCTGGCTAGCTGCGCCAAGTCGCCAGGGCCGGTGGTGGTGGTGGGCAGCATCTCTGTTCCCATCCGTGGGGGTGCCGCCACTGAGGGAGGGGTGCCTAAATGACAGGGCATTGCAGGGAAGGACACTGGAGGCACGTGAGGGCACAAAGAGCCTGTTTCTCCATCAGGCTGGACGTTGTCTCCTTCATGTGATCTTTTCTTTTTGTGGTGCTGGGGATGGAACCCGGGCCTTGAGCAGGCCGGGCAAGCTACACCCCAGCCCCTTCGGCATCTGTGAAGTGACTGTGCCTTTCTCCCTAGAACCCACAAGTCACCTGTGGGGGGACACTTTGCCACGGTGCGTTATGCAGCCCCTGGAATTCTCCAGCCGTCTCAGCAACTCCATCAAGACCAGAAAGGGTCGCCCTTCTACCAGTGGGCAACATTGGGCAAGTCTTCCCTTTAGCTGGGCCATCTGGTGACCCTGAAACAGTCCCATGAAAGGAGGAAGAATGCCTGATGCGGTCACTTATGCACAACAGGTTTGTAGAGGAAGGGCTGTCACAAGAGCTGCTCCAGGAGTGACAGTACTCTTTGGCTCTGTTTCTGAGGGAGAGCAGAGGCTCCTGGGTTCCAGCTATCACACTCTCCACTGCCCCAACTGTCCCAGACATGCCAAGGGGAGCTCCTGGGGAAGCTGTAGATCGAGTGCCAGGGTCCCGCGAGCCCCGAGGCCGCACTGTGCAGGGCCAGAGCATGCCAGGTGAGTAGCAGGCACCCATGCTGGCAGTGGGTGGCTCCCCATGAGGCCAGCGCATGGGCAGAGCTGCCTAACTGCCACCACAAGGACACACCACTGTCCCACTGAGGTGACCTCCTGCTGTCCCCTGCAGCCACCCCCACCACCCCCATAGCTAGGTTTGAGAATAGTACCTACATTGGTGGCATATGACCTCTGAGATGAGCTTTCCCCTTAGTGTGATTCCTAGACCCAGCCAGCATACATGCCACTGGCTCGCCCATATTCTTTTGCTGTGACTCCATCAGTCATTAGAAGTGTCCTTCTTTGGACACAAAGAGTCCAGGCTTCCCACGTCTGTACTGGCGGATTCTGAAGGAGGTGGCAGCATCTAGAGCCCCGCAGAGCCCGCGCACTCACTGCTCCAAGGAGTCGCCTTCCCGTCTAGAGCCAGGAGACACTCTGCGGCTCACACTGTCAATCAGGTCATATTGCTTTGTCCAGTTCATACGGAACAGCACAGGGACTTAACTTGTTTTTTTTAAGTTTGTATTTTATCTCTTACATTAAAATCCTGGTTGCTGACATCAGTGCTATTTGCTCTGTCTCAACATAGAGTTTGGAAACGCCATACCAATGTTACTAGAGGCAGAACTACCATGTCACGCTGGACTGCTGTGCACCCCTGGCCTGGGCAGGCCCCCACGGAGGTGACTAGCAGAGGCCAGTCTCTGAGCTATGCTGATCAGTTTCCAGCAGCCATAGTTTGGATCTGAATGTCCTCCAAAGGCCCAGGTGTAAAGGCCTAGTCTCCAGCCCATGGTGCTGTTGGGAGGTGGGGGGGGGGGTCCAACTGGGAGGAGGTAGGGTTATGGGGTTGACCCTGAGGGGAGACTGGGAGCCCTGCTCTTCCTCTCTCTCTGCTTCTGGCCTTCACAGAGAGCGGCTCTGCTCCACCACTTGCTCCCTGCCATGAAGTTCCCTGCCCACCACAGGACCAAGCCGGCCACAGTGGCAGACAGCACACTGGGAAATAGCTGCTGTGGTTTCCTGGTCCCCCCCAGATTCCTTCAAAACCTGTCCTGCTCCTCCCCAGGGACGTGGATGGCTCTTTGTGATGGTCTCCACTAGGAAGATGCCATGGCCTCTGGAGTTGGGACCCTCCAGCTCTTCTCTCTGGACACAGCCTCCAAAGTCGCTGGGAGAGAGCACAGCAATGAGAGGTGCCCAGCAGCCCCAGCCCAGGGCCAGGTGAGAACCTCAGATGAGCTGCCTGACTGCCAGGAACTGCCTGCCAAGCCCCTGGCCAGTGTAGTCGATGGCTATGGTTCTCGGCCACCAGGTTCTGGGGTGTCTGTTATGTAGCAATAGCTAACTGGGACAGGCTGCTTAATGCTGTCTGGGGGAATTTTTTCTTTTAAATATAAAATACCAATAAAGTTTGGGCTAGGGATATAGGTCAGTTGGTAGAGTGCTTGCCTTGCACACACAAGGCCCTGGACTTAATCCTCAGCATCACACATACACACACACACACAAAAGACCGACAAAGTCAGCCTGCACAGGACAGCCCGCCAGCTCTGGGCCAAGGTCCTACAGGGACAGGGCTGCACCAGCCTCACACAGTCTCATGCTGCCACATTTCACACTTGTGGGGGCCTTCAGGGCAGCTTCCTACAGGCAGAACCAAACCATAGGGACAGGGTACGTCCACCACTGGGCATTGCCACACCCCCCAAGTGTGTGGTCCCCTACCCACACCAATGCCTGCCCTTGGTCCAGTCGGAGCTGGCCCACACCAGCCTTCACAGGCACGGGGGGCTTCTGCCCCTGGCACAACGCTCCACCAAGGCCGGCTGGGCACATCTGAGGGCAGACCCTCAGCCGGAGTGAGCACCCTGTGGGGAGCTGGTGGGGAGGACACGCCCCCGGTGTGGAGACTCTTATCTCGCCCGCCAGCCCTGCAGACCCGGGCTGCGTCAGCCGTGGCAGGCCTGGCAGCTGGCCAGGGGCCCACCCGCAGCCACTGGCCTGCTGCTCTAGGAAACCTGCAGTGTGCGTGTTCATCAGAGCACAGGCAGACTGAGCGGTCTTTGTCTGCGGCCCAGCGGGATCCGCCAGGCTGAGCCGGTCTTTTTCCTACTCAAATACCTCCAAATGCACCCACACAGCAGGGATTAGCCGGGCTGCTGGCATGTGGGGAAATTCCTCCGCTGGCTCCACTGACCAAGCGCTGAAGTCACAACCTGCTGACCATGCGGCCCGGCTGCCAGCTCCAGCAGGAGCTGAGTGGAGGTCGGCGGCAGAGAGGGCGGCAGGGCTCACTGTTCACAGGGTTTATTGGTAATGCTGCAGGGCGACGGCCACGTGCACCGACGTGAACCAGTCCTCTGCTCGGGGCGAGGACAGCTGTGCACAGGACAGGAGCGCGGGCGCTGCCTGGGCGGAAGCCTCAGTGCCGGCCGTCAGGGCGGGCTTCTGTTGCGGGTCAGCTGCAGGTACTCCTCGTGCAGCCTCTGCTGCGCCTCATGCAGCTTCCGCAGCCTCTTGGAGAGCCCCCTGCTCAGCTCCCTGCCCTCCGTGTCGTGCGTGGGCAGGCCCTGCAAGGGCGACACACAGCTGCCAGGCCGCCACCCGGCACCCTCCTCCCTCCTCCTCCTCCACGCGCCTCTCCCTGCTGTGGCCGCGTCCTCTGCTCAGGGCTTTTGGTCACCACCTGCTCAGGGTCCAGCATGCTGACCCAGCAGCACTGGCTTAAGAGTTTAAGACCGTGGCCACCGTGGAGAATGGCGACCAGGGTCTGGGCACCCTGTCTCTGTCAGGGCCCACCATGCTGAAGGGGTGCAGCAAATACACCTCGACCTGGCAGGGAGGCCGAGGGTGGGCCAGAGCTGGGCCGGCTGAGGGCCCGAGGCCCTAGGCCCTGCCGGGTTCTGTTTCAGCCATCCGAAGTCCGGCCCAGGCCGTGACTCCCACTGTCAGAGGCAGGAGCAAGGTGGAGGCACCTGCTAGGAGGACACCCCCTGGGCCCCAGCCTCCCCTAGAATCTCCCACATGCCCACGGCTGAGAACTCCTGCCGCCCCAGTTCAGGGTGGTCTAATGAGTCCTGAAATGTGGAGAAGGATTTCTTACATCTTCATCAAACTTGGAGTATTTGTCACTTTCTGACAGGAACATTTCACCAGGTGGAATCTTCATCCTGGCCAGCTTCGCCGCCTGCAGCAGAGTAGGGTCATAACCACCCAGCAGCAGGCAGGGGCTTTACACTGTCCCCAGGATGCCCACTCCCACCCCAGCCCCCAAACTGCTGTCAAGCTCAGATGGCTGGAAGGGATGTGGAAGCCAGGGCAGGAACTCAAGGGGCCCGCGGTCGTGGAACAGAGGAAAGGCTGTCAATCGTCCCAAGAGCAGCCAGACTGCAAGAGCTGCCCGGTGTGGTGATGGGCGGGCTGGCTCCCCTGGCTGTCTCCCTCCTGGGGGGACCCCCAGGTTCCAGGGCACCATGTAGGAAGGCAGGTGGGGGCACAGTGGAGCTCCCTTTAGAGGGTGCTCCGGGGCCTGGCCAAGTCCAAGGGAGGCCAAGAGCCACAAAGGCCCAGGCCACAGTGCATTTCTACCCAGGGGAGTCCCCCCAACAAGCAGACGTGCTCACTTCCTGCTCCCGCTTCCTCCGGGCGGCCTCCTCCTTCTTCTTCCTCTTCTCCTCTTCAACCTAGGAGAACAGAAAGGGTCAATGAGCCAGGGTCCCAGTCCTCCTGCTGTCTCCCACGACCTGGCCTAGGGCTGGACTCCTGTCCAGCCCAGCCCAGCCCTTGGAGTGGGAGACAGATTGGTGCCCTGGGCTTAGGTGGCACACCTGTGCTCAGCAGTGGCTGACCCTTGTTCCAGAGCTTCTCAGTGGCCCTCTGGGTGCCCACCATGCTCTGGATGTGAGGACAGGGCAGCAGACAAAACCAACATTAAAAGCTTCAGGCACAACAGCAGGACACTGACCAGAAGGACAAACGTGGTCTGGAAAGGGGGGCTGCATCTAGTGGGGCCTGGGGACGACCTGCACAGGTCATGGTACCCAGGAGAGCAAGGGCACAAGGCAGGATGGGGAGAGGGCAGAGGCCAGCAGCGCCAAGGAACGGGTACCAGCGTTGGGGCAGTCAAAGAGATGGGACAGGAGGAGGTGAGCAAAATCCAGGATTCCACTCCACCCAGCAGAATCCAGGGGAGGGGCTGGGGAGGCCTGGCCCGGGGCTGGTGGTGGAGGCAGCAGGCTGGTTTCAGGTGAGGTCAGGCCAAGCCTGCGTCGGGAGTTCGGGCTGCCGTGGGCACGGAGGTGCCTGCCACCGATGGGAGGGAGGAACAAGTTCGGGGAGCCGAGAACCTGATTCCTTTGGGATGTCCAGGGTTTCGGGTGCTCCTGGCTTCCTGGAGCTATGAGGTAAGCAGCCAAGTGCAGGAGCATGGCAGGTGGGCTCTGGGCTGGGGCCTGGGGTCATGGCCAATGCCCAGTGGACACCAGAGAAGCGGTGGGCTGGGCAAGGTCACAGGGGAGGGGAGGGCTGGGGAGGGGAGGCAGGAAGGCGCCGACAGAGCGCCAGGACGGCAGTGTGCTAGAGGAACGGTGGCCTGTCTAGGAGGACTCGGGGCCCTTTCAAGGCAGGAGTGCTCGTGTGCGGAGGGACTACTCTGGAGGAGAGCAGGCAGGGGCACGCTGGAGGGCCTGGGAGCCCGGCTCCGTGCCGCAGTGGTGAGAGCCCTGGCCCGAACCGTGGACCTGGAGGAGCCACGAGCTGCTGCCTCAGAGGGAAGAGGTTTCGCCAAGGCACCCCAGCTTCGGGCCAGATGTGTGGGCAGGAGGCTGGGCCACCCCTGGCTGGGGGTGCAGGAAGGCCCCAGCCAACTTCTGGTCACCTCCAGGCAGCTGGCAGGCTACACCTCCCCTAAGGAGCCTGTGCTTGCTCAGTTCAGGAGGGGAGCCCCGTGTGGACGGAGACCCAGGCTGGGGAGAGCAAGTGTGACAGAAATGGAGAGGGCCTCTATGGGAGGTCACGCCACAACCTCTAGGGCAGGCTCCCTTCACACCTTCCTTGGTCACCACCCTGTGACTGTCTGGAGTCCCCCAGGCAGCTCCAGCTGACTCTCCTCAGCTGATGGGTAGCTCCTCCCCATGTCCCCAGGCCCTGCAAACCCAGTCTGTGTACACCTGAGTCTTGGGCCCTGCTCCTGGGGGGTGGGGGGCTTGCTGCAGTGCCAACGCAGGCCACTCTCAACTCCATCCCCAGACCCAACCCTGGCTCTGTCAATCACCTCTCCTCTCCAAGTCCCTCTCGAGTGGCCCGGCCCAAACCTGCTCTGGAGGCCACCCCCGGGGCCCACCTGTCTCAGTGCCACTCCCCGTTCCTGTGTGGCTTGGGAATCCACATGTCCCTGAGGGCACCTCACAGGCTGAGTCCAGCAGTTCTGATGTGTTTTTGTTCCTGTTCTTTCTCCCACTGACAGCCAGGTCTCTGAACATGGGATCTCTGGATCACGGGGTCTCGCTGGGGTGGAGGAGCTTTGGGAGGGGCACTCTGGGAAGAGCCAGGCGGCACTGAGGGTCTGCTGTCACTCGCCTCCCCCCAGCTGAGAAGACGGCCTGCTGTTGGGTTCAGGCTGTCGGGCAGTTGCGGAGCTGACTTTTCTTTCGGACATTCACAGGGACAGGGATTTGTTTGGTTTGGGCCCTGGGGATTGCCCAGGGCTCCGTACATGTTGCAAGCTCTCCACCACTAGGTCACACCTCAGCCCAGCACTGGCATATTTTAAAATAAAAGCATAAATGTAAATTCTTAAAAGTAAACTATGCAACAACCCTAAAGGTGTTTTGTTTTCAACAGAATCAAGCACAGTCATTCCAACTTTACCAACCCTTTTCTTCTCTTCCCTCTCTCTTAGTAAGGTCTCTCTGTCCACCAGTTTCACCACCGTTGGCAGTCCTGAAAAGCAGACAGCTGGTGAGACGCGGGCCCATGCACCTGTCCTCCTGCAGGCTGCCTGCCAGCCTCTGAGCCATCAGCCGAGCTCCCCACGCCACACACTGTGGACAACAGGGGGCCTGCCTGACGGCTCACACTGTCACCAGGCAAGGTGTGACACGGTGACAACTACAGCGCCTGGGCTGCTCCCTGAGTGTGGGAAAGGAAAGGCAGTAGAGGCCAGAGGACTATAGGCATTGGACTGTCAGGCCCAAACACATCACAAAGCACGACTACCCTCCTGAAGACTGCCTGCCTTGCTGCGCTGGGGACACCTAGGGACATTTGGGAAGAACATGGAGATTCCACTTGGGGATTCCTTTTTTTTTTTTTGGTACTGAGAGCAGAACTTAGGGGTACTATACCACTAAGCTACACCCCTACTCCCTTTTATTTTTTGAGACGGGGCCTTGCTAAGTTGCCAAGGCTGGCCTTAAACTTATGATTCTCCTGCTCAGCCTCCTGAGTTTCTGGGATTACAAGCAAGCACTACTGTGCTTGGCTTCCACTTGGGGATTTATCAGGAAGTCATAAAACTGTGGGGCCCTCAGGAATTCTTGGTGTGTCCCCTCCCGTGTCCTTTCCCAGATCTCTGGAAAGCAGGTTGAGAGGCTCACCCACCTTCGTGATCTTCAAACCGCACCCCAAGCTCGGGCAGGATGTCATCCCGGAGGGCATCGCTGAGCTGCAGGACCTCAGGGACTGTTGGCAGAGAAAAGTGGTTCTGTTAGACATGCAGGGAATCCCAGGTCCCCCGGACCACGCACTGTCCCCAGTGCCTAGAAGAAGCACCAGCTTGATTCTGTGGGAAGCGGAAGCAGCCCGGAGATTACCAAGGCCACCTCCATCAGGGAACCTGGGGTGCTGCTCCCAGAGCCCAGAAGAGCCCAGGCCTAGTAGCCACCTCCCACGGTAAGCCTGAGGACCAGCAAAAGCTTGTGCAGAGTGGCCAGTGCCTGGGATGCTTGCCAGGGGGTGTCTGGGATGCCCAGAGCGGGTGCAGCAAGCAGGGCCAGGCTTCTTCCTGGTGCAGGTTCCTACTGCACAACCACGAGGCTCCCAAGGCACCAAGCGCCCCTGGTCCCAGGTAAAGGCCCTGGGAACTCCTGGCCACCAAATCTTGGCTCAGGATCCTGAAGGAGACACACTCGGTAGGTCAGGCCTCTCGGGCTGCTGCTGTGCCTGCTCAGGGCCTGTGCCCTGTGCCCCTGAAGTCTTGAAAGCGTTCCCTGCTCCCCTCATGGGCCTCAGTGCTGGAGAAGGACAAGGCCACCAACTGTAAATGCCCTGAGAGAGCCAGGACACAGCTGGGTGAAGGGGGTCCAGGACAGAGGCTGGGTAGCCCAGCCTGCTTATCCAGCACCTAGGCTCAGCCTGACCACCGGGCTGTGTCAGGATGAAAGGCAGGGGAACCCCTAAAGCACACGGCTGGAGGAGACAAGACAAGGCCAGTCCGCTTGAAGCGCTCTTTCACGAAGGACACAGCACAGCAGACCGGGTGGTGGGACACCGGGACTGTACTGCGGACAGTCCTGCAGGTTTAGGCATTCCCAATCTCTGAGTCGCTTTCTCTGTTGGTGCCAAGGGCAAGATCAGTGACCAGCTGACTCATCCCTTCCTGGCACCTGGTCAGAGGGCAGTGGGAAGGCTGTAGCTCTGGGGTGGGGCTGGGGTACTTAACATGGAGCACAGTGAGGCCACTGGAGTCACACAACACAGCTCTCCTAGGCCCACGTGGGCCCACTCCAGGTCTGGCCAGTGTTCCGTCCCTGTCACATTTAGAAACCAAGAGCCCTGAAGGACTTGATTTCAGACAGTTCTGGCCACGACCAACCCAGCCTTTCCTAAAGGAAACGCAGCTGGACCCGAGGGGAGGCCCAGTCAGGCAGGGGGCCAACACCAGCGCCCCCGCCCGGACTGCACTGCCCAACTCGCAGGGCCTTGTCACGCTGGGGAAGGACCTCCACTTAGAAATGTGAACATCTGCAGTACCTCAGCCATGCCCACCACTGCAGATGGTCCCTCTTTCACAGTGGACACTGTCAGCTGGCTCCCAATGGTTATGACCGTCCCTGCCTCAGTGCTAACCCACATCTGCTGTTCCAGCCCACGTCAAATGTCACCAGGGAAACACAGGGTGTGACAGGCAAATAGGATGCCAACCATCCTCATCCTCAGGCCAAGACCCTGCCCGCTGTGATGGGGTCCCTAGAGCAGGCACAGGGAGGCCTCCCGCTCCCAACACACACAACACACACTCCCTGGGAGACCCCCCGCCACAGCCCACCTGGCCTCTGCAGAGCTGAGGAGCAGGACTTGCCACCTGCCCTCATGCTGAGGCCTGCTTGTACCCACTCGGCTTGAAATTCCCTCCAGGCCCGTGAAACCTTTTGGTGCCTCGGGCCTGGCCTGCTCTCTCCTCTGCTACTGAACAAGTGCAGGCCCCCAAGACCACAGCAGCACTCTGCACGGCCACGGCCACGGCCACAGCCACACGTGGTCCATCCCACCCCGAGTATCACTCAGCCCTGAAAAGGCACAAAGCACTGCCACACAACCAGCTGGCAGACACTGGAGACACGGTGCCACATGAGAGATGCTGTACCCGACACCCAGGACGCTATCTACAGACAGAAAGCAGGCTGGGTGGACGCATCAGAAGAGCGCGGGCTCTGTCACCCAAGAGTTGGGGGCGGAAGACCAGCCTCTGAACTCTCTGTTGCTACCTAGGTTTAGGCCTGAACCAGGCGTGATGGCGCACACCTGTAATCCCAGCACCTTGGGAGGCCGAGGCAGGAGCATTGCAGGTTCAAGGCCAGCCTGGGCAACTTAGCGAGATCCTGCCTCAAAATACATAAATTTTAAAATGGGTGTGACGTGGCTCAGTGGTACAGGGTCCCTGGCCCAGTGGTAGAGGGCCCTGGGCCCAGTGGTCGAGTGCCCCTGGGCTCCCTCCCCAGGACCCAACACAGAAACAAAAGGAAACAAAACGGCTCTGGCTAGGTGTAGGTCTGTGGCCAGCTGCTTTCTGGGGTTGGGAATGCGGACCTACAGGGGAATTAGGCAGGAGAGGGGACCTTCCACGTCCGAGGCCGCCTGAGCAGAGGCGTCCCCAGGTCAGAAGACCAGGCACAGCTGCCCTGGAGGCCGAAGGGCACAGCAAAGGAGCATGGCCTTCCCTGGATGTGGTCCCCAGACAGGGCACCTCCTGGGGACACCTGGGCCAGCCATGAGGACTCACGGTCCTGTTGACTAGAGATGCTCCTGAATGACAGGGTCCATTGTGGCTGTCTCAGTCAGCAACTCCTTAGAAGTGTCCTGCTCGCGTGGATGGGGTGACCGTCAGCACCCTGGGTGGCGACTGTTCCTCTCTCCCTCTTGGTGGGCACTGCATACTGCCCCAGGAGCATGTGCCCATAGAGCCCCAGGGCACCCATCAGAGCTGGCTCCTGTCAGTGGAGTCCGGGACAGGGATGGAAAGCAGGTGATGCCACGAGCAACTTACTGCCCAGAACAGACTGGGGAGAAGCCGCACAAGGCAACGGCGATCCAGCCCCGGGGAGCAGGAAGACGCAGGAGCCCCTTGTGGAATGCCACTCAGCTTTCCAAACAGATGGAAATCCTCAGGCTGCTGGGACGTGGAAGAGTTGAGGACGTTCTGCTAAGTGGGGGCAGACAGGTGCAGAAGGACACACTGCCCTCCACTTACATGAGATCCCTGGAGCACTCGAATTCAGACAGAAAGTAGGATGGGGAGCAGGGCTGGAGGGCGGGAGTCACATTCAAGAGAACAGAGTCCAGGCTGGGGAGAGCAGAAGCCTGGGGGTGGCGGTGGCTGCCCAGCAGAGTGGACATGCCCAGTGCACCAAACACAGTCACGGTGGTAACCTCCGTAGAGAATATCAAAGAGGCGATGGGGGGTGACCACAGGCGACAGAGGTCTGCCCAGCCCTGCAGGCCCTGTCCCAGGCTCCCCTGACCCCTGCTCCCTCCTGGCCTGGCCTGGGCAGAACTGCTGCCTCAGTCCACTCTGGAGCTTACGGCCCACTCTCCTTCTCCTGGGCCTGTCACAGTGCTGGGAATCAGAGCCACACTTGCTGCTGCTGCTGCTGCTGTGTGGGTAGAGCCACGTCCAGCACATGCCTCCAGCCCCTGGACTGTCCAGAGAGCCCTGGGGTCTCTGGCCCAGGTAAGCTGACTGCAAGCCCACCTGAGCGTCGGGGCAGAGGAGTGCTGCATGTGAGCACAGCATGGTGATCCCATCCCTTGGCATGACCCACTTCTCTGGCTGTCCACTCTCTCCAAGTAACAAACAAACAGCAAAAAGCCAGCCAACAAGCTACTCTGAGGCCAGCCTGCTGGGGCTGCTCTAAAGGCCAAGCACACCCTGCCCTGGTCAGTGTTGCAGTGCTGTGGCTACCGCATGGCCAGGCCACCTTTGGAGCCCATTGGCCTGCGTGCCCGAGTTCCTCCTGGGGCTGGGGTGTGCTCAGGAAGTCATGTTACAGGTGTGCTCCCTGTGTGCCCTTGGGGGCTGAGTCCTGGGCTCAGCCTCCGATGTCCTGACAGGCCGACGGAAATGCCCAGCTGCCCACAGGGCCACTGCTCCAAGCCCAGGACCCCAGCGATGGCAATGGGGGCTGCTGACATTGAGAGATCTACACAGCTCTGCAGTGGGCCATCAGGTGCTTCTCAGTTTGGTGAAAGTGATTTAAATCACTGAGAAGCACCAGGTGAGATAGCAAGCACCAAATGCTCCCTGCAGCCTGCTCACTGGCTGCTGGGCAGGCCAGGCCCCTCTATGGGCACAAGAGGCAGCCTTGGAATGGGGTCACCCAGCCCGCCTCCTCTGGACGTGTCCTGCACTCCCCCTGACCAGAGGAGCTGCAGGCTGAGAGTCGTCTTCCCTTTTGCTCTGCTCTCCAGCACAAGACAGGCCTGGACCTGGTCCCGAGCCTCCCCCTGGCCACGCCTCGCATCCTCCTTCAAGAGGCAGCCTCTCCATTTGCTGGTAGTGGATGGAACTGGACTATCATGTTAGGTCAAGGAGCTAGATGTCCTCTCTGATATGTGGATTTAACACACCATGTGGGGTGGGTGGGGGAACGGAGTTCACTGGATTAGACAAAGGGGAATAAAGGGAAGGGAAGGCGAAGGGGAAAGACAGTGGAATGAAGCAGACGCCACTTCCCCACGTTCACACGAGTACACGACCATTGCGAACAACCTCAAGTACGAGACATCAAAGCGCACTCTCCTGGTATCCAAAACGAACCAACAACAAAAACAGGCAGCCCCCCCCCCCCGCCCGAGGCTCTCCTGGGTGCCCTGCACTCCACCATCAGCCACGTGGCCTAGACGCTGACCTGCCTGGACACTGTCCTGCAGTGAGCCCAGGATGCTCTCTGCACAGTGGAGGCTCAGCACCACAGGCTCCTGGCACCGACCAAGCTGAGCGGGGCAGGGGACGGTCGCCGCCTCCTCCAGGCCCTGCTTTCCTCTTCTGTAAAACCGTGAGGTCAGACAAGACAGCGTGGGGGAAAGCAGCTGGTGAGGCCACCCTGCATCCTGACGGGCGTCAGTGGTGCTGCCACAGGTTCAGAACCCTGCGGCATGAGAAGCCAGAGTGCCGCGGGACACCACTTACTGCCAGGTTTAACAACCTGCACGGACTGGCCAAAAAACCAAAGCGCAGAGACCCAGCACTTCCCAAATCTCGAGTCTCACACACTCAGGATGTCAGGATATCCAAGAATGAAGCACAGACAGAAAGCCCTCGCGGGGGACCCCCAAGATGAAGGCATTCCGCTGCCAAGCCCCACGCAGAACAGTGACTCTGGGAGCACCACCCCCCCCCAGCAGGAGGCTCCCGCCCTGGGCTCGGCGGCTCACCAGGAGCGGAACTGCGCCTTCCATGGCTCTGCAGGATGACCACAGCAGTGCACGCAGCTCTCGCCCAGAGTCCTGCCAGGCTCTGCCCTTTGTGCTGCCCCCATGGGGCCTGCAGCGTGTGGGCAGCCCACAGAGGGAGACGCGCGGGGTCTGCAGCGCAGAGAGGAGCAGCTGTGTGCTCACCCAGCGAGGAAGAGCCGCTCCTGCTCTCTGCACAATGGCCTCACCTTTTTCCTCCCGGGCAATCTTGCGCACTCCTTCTCTGAATTCCGACAACACCTGCAGGTAGGGCATGACTGTGGACTCGAGCTGCGGAAAGAAGGTCTGGGCTCAGAGGGCAGCTCGCCTGTGTTGTGACTGAATGCCTCGTCAGGTATTCAATTCAGAAACGTAGTGCAGGGCGGGGACAGCCTGGGCAGTGCTGCGGGGCCTAGTGTCCCAGAGCCTGACACCTTGTCCCCAACACATGGTCTACAGGTGTGCCGGTGACAAGCACCTTGCGGGCCTGCAGCACAGGTGACATGGGCCAGAGGGCACAGAGCCTCCTGTACGCTCTGGCCAGAGGTGCTCAGCAGCTCCTCTACAGTACTAAGTGCATGCTCCCAGCAGGGCAGACACAGAACTGTGAGGACCTTCTTTATGTTACAAGTGGCCGCTGGGCTGCTCGTGAGTCCCACATGCACTTGCCGAGGTGTTCACGCACTTAAACATCTGCACAAGCACTGACCACAGAGGAATGCTGAGGAGGAGGCAGGAGGGAGGACGCTGGATGGGCGAAGCAGTGCACAGAACAAAGCTCCGGCCACTCTTCCTGCGCCTTCCTCCTGTCTGTTCAGCAGAATCAAAGATGGCTTCTGAGCAAGGTCTCTGCCTCCAGGTCACGGGGTAGCTCAAGAACCAAGATACAACACAGATGGCCACCAGCTGGCTGGGCCTGGGAGCCAGCAGTCTGAGCTGAACATCCTGGCCCGTCTGACCCCTGGGCAGAGGCCGTCTCCCGTGCAGTGGAGACTCCGGGCTTCCTGGTGGCTTTGGGTCTTTCTCTCTATTCATGCACCAGCCTTGGGCCAGCAGGGTGCCCAGGGGGCTCTTGGATGGCGACAGGGTCTGTCTCGAGGAGGCCTGGGACTACCGACCCCCCATGGTTTGACTGACTATACTGGGATGCACGGCCAACACCCAGGAGGCAGAGGAACAGGTGCCACCTCCTCAGCTTGACAGCATTTGGGACTCGAAAGTCAACTGGTGCACATGACTTGAAAGAGTGAGCTGTGGGCGCGGGACACTGGGCCTGGCAGGCTCGTCCCATTGGCTCACTCACTCATGGCTGGCTATTTCCAAGGAGCTGACTCAGAGGGGCTAACAGGACACATGGAGGATGCACAGAGCCCTATGTGAAGGCCATAGCCACAGCAGAGTTCAAGACCACAAACACTGGTACAGACTCAAAGGCAGACGGATGACTATCCTAGGAGCTCTCTTTTGCTTCTTGTTCAAAGAAAACAAACACCCTAGTGTTGTCTGCACATGAAAACAAAACAGCTCTTGTAGATTTTCTTTCAGGAAAGCACCAGAAGCAGCCTCGCAGCTCCCCTGCAGGGGTCCTCACTGCTTATCGGTAGGAAGCAGGTTGAAGGTCGTGCCTTTATTTTGCGCTGAGCACCTTGTCATCAGGTAGCAGCAGGTCCTCTTCAGTGTGTGCCCGTGCCCTCTGGTGGAGGACTAAGGAGCACTCGACAGGGCAGGGGGGTAGGAGGACGACGGAGATGAGCAGCCCTCACGTAGCGGAGGAGCCTGACATCACTGCAAACGGAGAGGCAGACTGCACCGAGCAAAGCCCGCCAGGGCGGGTTTGTCTGCATGCTCACACCTGGCATGGTGACTCTGCAGGATGACCTTCTCATGCCTCCCAGAGCAGGGGATAGCAGTGCGTGCACAGCCCCTGGGCGCAGTGTCAAAGCTAGAGCTGACTGGACCTGGCATTGGTTCTGCCCAGCCACAGGACAGAGAGGTAGTGGAGCGCTCTCCAGCCAGCACTCTATCTATATGCGTGACCTTCAGTGAAGCCATGTTGGGTGCAGCCAACCATGAATGGCAACGGTCAGGGACGCGAGTGTGTCCACCCTGAACACACAGGCCTTTCTCCCATCACCCTTGCACCACGGTACAGCCACCACATGGGGAGCACTGGCGCTGCATTAGGCCTCACAGACCACTGAGCGACGGCATGCACTGCAGGAGGACACGTGGCTTATGCACAAAACCCACCGGTACATGTCAGGGCCTCAGCACCCATGGGTTCTGGCACCTCTGGGGTCCTGGCATCCCACTTACATGGATACTAGGGAAATGGGATGCAGGACATGGCAGGGGCAATCAAGGACCCATTCAGCCAGGTGTGCCAGGTTGGAGCTCACGACAGCAGGGCAGCAAAGGCATCCTAACAGCCAGCTGCCCAGGCCGCCCTTCCACATGCCAAGGTGCAGCTGCAAAGCCACATCTGAAATGCAACTGGCAGGGTTGGTGGGGAAGGAACCTGTGCCTGTCTCAGTATGCCTAAGGGCTGCCAGGCTGGGGAGACTCCTGGAACTCCAGAGGAACAAGCAGGGGGGAAGGGTGGGTGGCCTGAGGCCCTGGACAGGGACCCGTGGGCCCAGGCACGCACTACTCACATTTAGGCTGGTCTTAGACCCTCCGACTGGGAAACCCAGGGAGCTCTCCTCTTCTATGGCCCCGAAAATCTAAGGAAGAAAGAGATGGCACATGACCCATGTGCAGGATGGACAGGTGAGACGTCTCGCGCGGTCAGCAGCCCACGAGCGGCTGGCGTACGCGGGGCCTGGTGGAGGGCAGCCTTTCTGGTGGGTCTCCACGGCCAGGGAAGGGTGGGAAGAGCAGCTCCGAGAGCTTGAAAACCCACAGCAGGCCTGTCGTCCAGCTGGGCCCTGGCTCAGGTGGCCACTCTGGCCCTCCCCAGCCTGACAATGGGGAGAGGGCGAGGCAGGAGAGCCACCCCGAGGTCCTGCGGGCTGTGGCAGTGCTGCTCCAGAAGTGGCTCTGCACAAGACGTGCTCAGAGTTGGGTCCTGGGACATGGTCTCACTTTCCAGACCCCAAGGTGGGAACGGGGTAGAGAGGGACAACACTGCAGCCTCAACTCCTGACGCGTGGAGACGGGAGGAGCGGAGGGCTTGGCTTCCAAGGGTGCATGTAACGGAGGCCTGTTTCCCCACCACGGGGCGTCACGGGGCCATGCAGCCAGAGAACTTGGGTTTCCGGCACCTGCCTACCTTCAGCATGTGGGTGAGGTACACAGCGACACTCTCCAGCAGGGCCCGGTTGGGCCTCCGCCGGGCAGCCTTCCGGGCCGCCATATAGAGGTTGCACTGACTGACCAAGGCTCGCATCTCTTCCATGACGGTGCGGGTGTCGACGTTGTCACAGAGGGCTTCGTGAACTGCCCTTTTCTTGTCATAAAAGCTACACGTGAAAGAACAAGGAACCCAGTCAGACTTGATACCATCTACAACAATCCTCCAAACGCTCCCCAAGCACGGCTGGCTCGGCAGCAGGTGCTGCATGTCCTGGGGACCAGCTTCTCGGGCTCTGGGGCCCGGCCATAGTCGGCCAGGCCCTGGGCTGAAGAGAACAAGCACATGCCCACAAACACCAACGAAAAGGCTCCACTTACTTCTTATTCAGTTCTGTTTCCTCATCTTCCCACTTTTCAAACTGGCCCGTGATGTCAACAGGCGCTCGAAGGACGTCTTTCACGTTTAAGAAGAACTCCTGGGGTTAGGAAAGTCGGTTTAGCAGCATTCAGGCAACTTTCCCACTAGACGTTTCGGATGAACCGTCCTGATGGGATTTTACTTCAGGCAGATTCTGAAGAACCACAGTTCCCCAAGGCCCACAGAGAACCAAGCTGACAGCCGGGACCGCAGCGCGCTCTTTTTGAGCCTGTGAGACACGTGCTTGGCAGGAAGCCCAAGTCAAAAAGGTCCATCCTCGTGAACAGGAGGGACAGGACCTTCTTACACCTGCCGAGCTGCCAGCCCTCTCGGGGCAGCGTGCCCTCATCCCATGGCCCGAGCCACCTTCCCCCATGCCGTGCCCTGCCTGCCAGAGCAGGAGGGAGATGCCGCTTGCATGGACCACAGGTGCCGGTGGAGCTGCTGTCCGCCACCTCCCACCCCGCCGAGAGCTGGCACTCACGTTCATGAACTTCTCGTACTGCAGCGCCGACTCCATGGTGTTGCTGGAGTAATCCAGCGTGTCCTTCCAGGAGTGCATGAGGAAGGCCAGCCGCAACTGCCGCGCTGCGGAGCGAAGGCACAAGACAGCCTCAGTCCCCGGTAGCCCCCTTGACCACGCCACTACCTGAGGGTGCGCGTGCGGCAGGCTTACCCGAGTGCTTCTTCAAGGCGTCCTTGATGGTGATGAAGTTCTTCAGCGATTTCGACATCTTGCAGCCTGCAATTGTCAGGTGACCTGTGTGGAGGAAGTACCTGACCCAGCAGTCATTTTCAAAGTACGCCTGCGTGGGAAGACGGGAAGGATGGCTTGGCCAGCGTCCCCAGGGCCTGGCCTTCCGGGGGGAGCCAGACACTGAACGCGCTATTGCCGCACTGTGCAGCGTCCACTGGGCAAGTGCTGCCTTTCCTAGTGGGCAACTGAGGCTCAGAGGGACCATGCCAGGTCGCTTGCCAACAAGCAACACGACTGGTTTGAGTTTGAGCCTCTCTGTCAGAACGGCCAGGCTGTCAGTGTGGGAAATCAGGCTCCGTGACTAGGTCAAATTCCTTGCAAGCCCCAATGCAAAAGGCAAGACGTACCCGGAGAGGCCCTTCCCGAGGCCTGGCAGGGCTCCCAACCTCACTCACCTCTGACTGCGCCAGCTCGTTGTCGTGGTGGGGGAACCGGAGGTCAAACCCCCCTCCGTGAATGTCCATCGAGGCTCCCAGGAGCGTGCCTGCCATGGCAGAGCACTCAATGTGCCATCCCGGACGACCCTGCAGACGTCAACAGCTCATGCTGCCTGCTGGGGCCTTTATGGCCCCAAGTACAACCTCAAGCCTCTGAGCTCACCAGACGGTGTTAACTCCCCCACAAACACTCAGAGTGACCTTTTGTAGAGTCTAAAGCCAGACCCAAACACCAACCCGGGACGACTTCCAGCACCCCAGCACTCCAAGAGGCCAATGACCGCTTCCCTTCCCACAGCACTGCAGGCAGGACGGCTGTCCCAGGCCACCTCGCCCTCTAGAGCTAGCGATATTCCCACGGAGTCCACAGGGCACCAGACGAGGGCCTGCGGAGGTGGGGGCATCTAACCCACCCCCATCACCCCCTCACAGACGGACAGTACAAGTCCCAGGAAGGCAAGTGGCTTCTGGAGGCCCAGGGAGGCCGTGTGACATCTGGTCCCTAGGACCAGGCGGCTCTGTGCTGTACCAGCCCCAGGTTCTGGCCCTGGTGCCGAAGTTCTTCACATGCAGAGCTGCCCTCAGGGACAGGGCTGTGCTGGTGCCAGGCGCCCAGCCCACCGGCACGCACTCACCTTCCCCCAGGGGCACGGCCAGGACGGCTCTCCCGGCTTGGAGGCCTTCCACAGGGCGAAGTCGTTGGGCGAGCGCTTCTCACTCAGGCGGTCAGCTGAGACGCTCAGGTCGCCTGCAAGCGGGAGGGCAGGGCAGGGTTCCTCACTCGGCACATCCTGCAGGGTGTCCAGCACCCTCCCACAGCTGCTCTGCGGCCCGCCCGTCTCCCGGGCTTGCTCTAGTATGCCCCCTAGTACCCGTCTGCTGTGACAGGAACTGGGGCTGACAGGGTGGATTCAGGAAACGCTGCTGTGGGCTCCAGAGTACTCGTTCTCGTGCCAAGGCCAAGCCAATCCCTGGGCTGCAGAGAGGCCCACCTCACCCTGCCTCCTTGCAGCCCTGGCTCTCCACACCTCTAGGTCAGGCTGCGGTGCTCTGGGCTGAGGCAAGGAGGCGACCTGGTGTGAAGCTCACTGGGGCAGTGTGTGGGAACCCAGGTCCACACAGGGGGGATCCCTGGGTCGATGGCCCGCATAGCTGTCAGCCTGTGAGTTCTGGGGACACAAGGCATAGCTGAGCTGCTGTGTGCAAGCTTACAGGGCCAGGAGGTGGGCAGTGTCCTCCCTCCTGGGCTCACAAGGGGCACAAGGGGAAGCAGCTAAGCATCAGCCAGGAAGGCCATGAGCCGAGGGCCAGCAGCCCTTGGGGACTTGCAGGAGGGGAGGTGGCATTTTGCTAGACTCGTGGTACATTCCCTCTGTGTACTTTGGTGAATGACAGGTGGCAGCAGCAGGCACAGCAGTGTAGTGGCCATGGCCCACAGGCCAGCCGAGCTCCACACTGAGGACCACCTGGCCTGGTGAGGGGCAGAGCTCTAGGCATGAGGGCACCAAGACCCAGCCTGGCCCTCAAGAGCCTGGCTGGCCAGACTTGCACCCTTCCCTGGTGACACCTCCCCCTGTGTGCCCTGGAACAGGAGGCACAGACTCCATCTTGCCAGGAGCTGTGGAGGGGCCATAGCTGAGCCTCCCTGAAGACACTGGGAGGGATGGCCATGCCAAGGAGGGCCCAAGCCCGAGCCTCAGGATCAGCGACATGCCCTGAACATGGAGGACGATGGCCACCAGCTTTCAACCCAGAAACCGTCACAGTCAGCGTCTGGGTATGTTGACAACCTGACTGAAATGTCTTCATGTCCCTCTCTTGCTGGTCTGCCACCAGCAGTCCCTCAAACCATGGCCGGATGTGGCTCCATGACACCCTCCTACGTGCAGGTTTTCAATTAGCTGTTGCTGTGCATATTTACTCATGAGTGTCCACGTATTATGACTTACTTTTGTTTTGTGGTGGTGCTGGGGATCGAATCCATGACTTACTTTTAGAAACACCACAGAGAAAAGGATCGTATCTCTCGCACGCCAAGGCCTTAAAGGCCGTTGCTTGGCAGAGCTGGCTGCTTCAGACTCTTTGAGAAAGAAATCACACAATCCCTCCCATCCTCATTCCTGCTAGCCACGCCCCTGCCACTGAGCCCCAGCCGCAGCCCCTCTACCTTATTTTGAGACCGAGTCTCACTATGTCCCCAGGCTGCTTCCAACCTAAGACCCCTGCCTCAGCCTCCCAGGAGATGGGGCACACACCAGCTGCACAGTCCTTCTGAGGGCATCTTCCTCTCGCTGGGCACAGGGAGCAGACCGCCACGGGAGGGGTACGCAGCCCTTGGGAGCGGGCGGAGATGTCCTTCCAGGGTGAGTGTGCCCTCTGCCACCCTTCCTATCTGAGGCGGGGCTCTGCTCTTGCTGTTCCTAGCACCTAGCAAGTCAGAGGTCTGATGTGTCCTGTGGGCGACGAGCCTCTCTGCGTTGCTCCAGCAGCAGCCTTTGGCTTGCCAGGTCCCTCACCTTGCCCCCGTGTCTATCTGCACCCCCCGTGCTGTCTTGCCATCCTCCGATGCTCCTCGTCTGCCCACTGTGTCCCCTTAACCCCCAAGTGCACAAGCCGCACCTGGCTGCGTGCATCTGTCTGTGGCTTCCCTTCCACCCAGGCGCCAGGCACAGGCCTCTGTCTTGCACGTCCCCACAGCACCAGGGCCTCGCACACTGCGCTGTGCTCGGAGAATGAGGTCCCCATGAGAGCGACTCTGGGGTACATGCAGACCTTCTGCCGCTGCCCAGTTGGGGGAGCCTAAAGGAGCAGTGCTCTGGAGCTGCCCCTCTCATCTCTGCCCCTTCACCATATCCAACCGTTCCCGCCCCGCTCCTCTTGGCCTGCTGACTCTGCTCCTGAGAAGGGCACGGCATGCAGCGGCAGCTGGGGCTCCGAGTCCTCTGGGGAGGTGCTCCATCTCCATGAACTCCTCCTCCCATGCCTGTGAACGCTGGAGCCTTAATGCCGCGGGCCGAAGGCCCATGTCCCCAAACGGCCCAGCCTGCCCTCTTTCACTGACTTTGGGTTGTTTTAGGTGTTAGTGTTTCTCCAGACTAGAACCCTACAGGTGAAAGTGCTTGATTGAAAAGCAACTTTCATGGCCAAACTGCCCTCCAGAAGTAGGGCTCGGTGGGAAGCGCCTCCAGCACGGGAGCCACACCTGCCCTGCAAACACCCCAGCCTCACTCGTGGGAAGAGCCTGGAGAAATGGGGACCAGGTGTCCCAGCTGGGGCTCTCCTGGGCTCGGGAAGCCTGGTGTCCTTGCTTAAAATGTGGCTGGAGATTGAGAGACTCAGGACGCTTGCTCACATCCCAGAGTCTCACCGTCCGTTCCAACCTCATGTATAGTGACAGCAGCCCCCCAAATCAAGGCCCCAGGCCACTTGTCAGGACAGCATAGTGGCCGCTCCCTTGGCTTTGTATGAAACAATGCATTTCATGGTCCAGTGTGGACAGGCCCTCAAGTCCCTCTAGAGGAAGCAGCACCTGCTGCTGGCCACCCGGGGGAGCGCAGCTGCATGGGGCTCCTTTCAGTCCCGCCCTTGGGCGTGCTCCTTACCCTCCCCTTCCTGGAGAGCGGTCTGGTCCCCAACAGCTTCGGGCACCAGCTTGCCATAGGAGTGTTTCTCACTAGAGGCGAACTTCATGGTGTCAAAGTAGACAGACCCATTTGAAGCATAGCTGAAAGACAAAAGAGGAATTCAGGGACCAAGTAGACGCCACAGGACACCAGTCTGAATCCAAGGGCCGCAGAGTCACGAGAGCCAAGGTCCCCTGTGTCTCCTGTTTCCGCCTTCACCGTGGCTGTTGGGAAGACTTGCCAGCTGCGCAGGCTGAGTGGGGGCTCCCGCCCACCACAGAGAGGCCTCGCCACTGCCCAGCAGTATGTCCCTCGGGAACCCGCTACTGGGCGCCACAGCCTGAAGTGACGACACCACCCTGCACAGCATGCCGTCACCTCTCCCCACCTGCACTCCACCACCCGGGGCCATGCCACTCTCTCCAAGAGCCTCCAGGTTATTCCAGGCCTAACAACCTGTCTTCCTTGAAGGGGGTTCGCCCCAATCTCATGGTGGCCTGCAGCAACCTGGGATAAGGGGGAGAGGTGGCCTCTCACGTCAGAGCCAGTGCTGCCGCAGACACAGCTGGGGCCTTGCTCCCCTTTCGGCCAGAACACGCAGCTGGGTGGGGAGGGCAGCCACCCAGGGGCAGGCCCAAGGCCCTCCACAGCCTAGGACACCGAGCACGGCCCACAGGCTCCAGAACCCCGGCTAGCTTCCACTGTGGTTCCTTTGCAGAAAGCCAACTTCAGAAACACGGAAAGTGTCCCTGCAGTGGACACGATGGAGTGCTCATCAGAGCACGGTGGGTAGTGTGTGCACTCAAACCTCAGCTGAGCAACAGGATGCTGGTGACATGCCCCTGCCCCTGGGATTGGACCCCAGGACACACACACTGAAGCGTCCACGAGGAGCCGAAGCCCTGCACACCCACAGCTGCTCTTGGCCAGTGAGCCACAGTCTTAATGGCTGAGCTTTCCAGAAACTTCATCCAGTGGCCCCAGGGCAGGACACTAGGCCTTCCGGGAGGGGCTGGTCAGCGAGACACCTGCTCCTCAGCCCAGGGCTGTGTGGAGCTGCAGGAGGATGGCTGATGGGGCTTCGGGACAGGCTATGTGCCGCCACCACCTGTCCCTTCTGCTTCCTGCCCTGAGCCACCAGGTGCCTGCACAGTTCAACACCTACTGCACAGCAGCCACCGCAGAGCCGGGAACCCACGGCCGTGTGCACAGCAATCCAAGATGGCAGCGGCAGGGCCGGGAGCTCCACGCAGGGCCAAACACCATAGGGGGCGAGTGCCCAGGTGACCCAGGAGCACAAGCTCCCCTGCTCCAGGCCTGGACAGGGGCTGGGCAGCTGCTGCTCTAGAGGGCTGTGCGCTGAGGGAGGGCTCTGTTCTTACCCATAGCCATTGTCAACAATCTTCTGGACAAAGTTCACAATTTCTGGCACATACTCGCTAACCCGGGTCAAGGCGTCGGGAGGCAGAACCTGTGGGTGACAAGGGCAAGTCTCAGCATGTCCCTTCCAAACACCTCAGCCTCCCAGGAACACACTCCATGAACACATCACCTGTCTGTCAAACAGGAAGCCTCGTACAGTCCAGCTGAGGGACAGGCACGCGGGTGGGCCTGCGCCACGAGGGACCCCACTGCACCGACTAGCTGGCTGGGTCACCAGTGTCCCTGCCTCACTACCTTGGCTCTGCGCCAGTGTGAGTCTTCTTCCTTTGTGGTAAAATGGATGGTAGGCCCAGCTCTGGGGACGACTATGGGACCAAGAGAGGCCGCAGACAGCACGGCCTGCTTCTCCCTGCCTGGGCCTGCGGGCCAGACGTCCCTGTGCCCATGGCCCTTCCTCCCCACCAGAGGCCCAGAAGCAGTGACGACCACAACAGGACCTCCTGGCCTTACAGGAGTCTTCCAACCTTCCTAAGAGTTCCCGACTTATTTTCTGGGCCAGGGGACAATAAAGGTGAAAATTCTGGTTAAAAACCGAAAACCAGGGCTAGGGCCGTGGTTCAGCAGCAGAGCGCTTGCCTAGCACTTTCGAGGCCCTGGGTTCTATCCTCAGCCCGTCCTAGAAATAAATAAATAAAATAAAGGTATTGTGTCCGACTACGATATATTAAAAAAAAAAAAAATCCATGAAAACAAAAACGAACAAGCCACTCGTGCCCCCAAGGAAGTATTTCACAGCTGGGCCTGCAAAGTTGAGGACACTGTGGGTCACACGGGCCTCCTGGCTTTACCAAAACAGGGATCTGGAAGCCAGGGCCGCGGCCGAGTGAGGAGCAGACACTCACGTTCAGAGCTTCCATGTCTCTGTGGAACTCCCCTTCCCAGAACTTGGGCAGTTGAGAGAAGATGGAGTTGTCGGCCACCTCGCTGCCACACGTGGAGTCCAGCCAGTCAGAAAGCAAGTCCTTTGCCTGTTCCAGCAACGTCTACAGGAAGGGACAGGAGGGGACAAAACACCCATGCTTGTGCCAGGTCTCAGCAGGCCCATCCAGCATGGTGGTGGGAGCCACGCAATGCCCATAGCGCCCAGCTGGGACCCACGAGTCACCACCTCCTGGCGAGACAGCAGAGCTGTGCCCCATGGCTGTGCCCCATGGCCCAACCACACCCACAGGTCCCTGCACTCAGGAGGGAGACACTTTGTCCTTGGCGGCCCTGGAGGAGTCCAGCTTTGTGGCAGGCTGAGCTGCGCAGTGGCGGCCAGGGTCTCACGGCAGGCAGCCGTCGGTGGAAGTGGAGGCCAAGACGCAGGGTGGAGAGGTGGCCTGGCTGGAGCAAGAACGGGGGACGGTGCCCAGCACAGCAGGAGGGAGGGGCGCAGGGCAGCACAAGGGCCCCGCCCCCAGGCACTGCCTGCCAACAGCTCCTGGCTAGCAACCTTGCAAGAAGCCAGCCAGCAGGTGCCCGTGTGCCTCCCCAGCCCAGCAGGCACCAGGGTGCACAGGTGGCAAAGGCAGGTGTGCACCCAGAGGCAGAGACCCAGGCCTGCCTTCAGTGCAGGACAGGAACCCCAGGAGATGACCTTGAGGAGATGAGCCCCGGCACTCAGGGAGGCACCTGTATCCTGTTCCTAGAACTACCAGACCAGGACCAGGCAAAAATAAAGTCCTTGTCAAGGTCACTACATGCCCAAGGGCAAGCAATCACAAGGAAAGCCATCAGAGACATGCCAGCCTTCAGGCGCCCGCGTCACCAGACCCACGGTGAAAAGAGCAAGTGTCGAATGTTTAGAGAAACAGGGTCACAAGGTGATGTGAAACAGCAGGCCAAAAGAGGCCACCAAGTGGGCCAGGGACTTTCAAAAGGAGAAATAAACCATATTTTTGGAGATGAAGTCTGTTAACTGTTGAGTGTCAACAGGGCGGGTGAGGTAGTTGAAGAGGGAATCGGCGAAAAGGAGGAGAGAACTGAAGGAGTCGCTGAAAGGAACAGAAACCAGAAGGAGAGAGGGAAGACCAGGAGGAGGGGTGGCTGAGAGCTGGGCCTCACACCTGCAGTGTCCCAGAGAGGGAGGGCAGCGAGCAGAAGAGACACAGCAGTCGCCGACGGGAAGCTGAGGCTGACAGGGGGAGGGCCTGGCGGCCTCTCACAGGACCTCAGGGAAAGAGGCCAGAAAGGCGGTTTCTTCACAAGGAGCCAGACAGAAGGGAGGGAAGGTGACATGAAGACTGCCACCGTCCTCCACAGCTGCCAGGCACAGGAGCCAACGCAGCAGGACGAGCCTCGGTGGTGGTCTGAAGAAGCCAGGCTGTGCAGTCAGTGCTCGGGGAACCTGCATCTGACCGGCCCAGGTGAGCTGGCCACAGGTGCTCAGGAAGGGGGTCCAGAGCATGGGAAGGAACGAGGCGCAAGGGCACAGAGAACCCACCCCCAGGTGGCAGCAGCATCGTGTGAGCTCGGAGTGAGCGACGCGCCAGGGTTCTGAGATCCAGGGCTGCGGAAGAAGGGGCAGAGTGGCCACTTGAGTCCTCGTTCAGTCACACACCCACAGAACCATCCCAAAGTGCAGCGCTCAACAGGGGCCTGGAGACGCCAGGCCAGTGCCGGAGGGAGTCGCACAAAGGCCAAAGGAGGCCAAGCTGGGACAGAAGCCTGGGCTGGGGCCTCGGACAAGCCCCGCGCAGACCCAGCCCAAGGCCGGACCTACACCAGGCTCTCCAGCCACCTACTGGTGATGACTCTCCTGCGGCACAGGCCACTCAGGTGGGGGAGAAGGACAGAGGGGGCCTCAGCAGCACACTCCTGGGAAAGGCAGCCTGGGGTCAGGGAGGCAGGGGCTTGCCGGGCCCCCACCTAAGGCCAGCCATCCAGTCGTGGGTCATCGAGGGATGAAGTGGTTCGCAACCCAACCACAGATTCAATGTCCCCCCAATAATCATGTTGAGCTTGGGAACTCTAATTGAAGAGCCTCAAAATACACAGAAGAGGATGAGATGGAGACTCCCGCTTCCAGTCCCACAGGCAGGAGTCTGGGAGGTGCCCTCCATCCTAACAGCAGGCAAGAAGTTGCGGAGGGGAGTGGACAGGAGGCCCGGCTCACCAGGGCAGCGCCGTGACTGGCGAGTCCTGGAGGTGGTTAGCCGATAGTCAACAGCCCCAAGGGGACCCAGTCACAGGGACCCCCACGCTGTTCTAAGTTTCACCTCCAGGAACTTGGCCAAGTTCTCACGGAGGACACGGACAAGGCACTCCTCTGGGCGGAGGGCAGGAAGGGAGCCCTGAGATCCGCCAGCGCTCTCTTCTTAGCTGCCTGCTCTGGTCAGAATGTGTTCCCCAAACGCAGCAGTGCTGGGAGGGGGGCCTACTGGGAGGGCTTAGGTCACAGGGCCCCACTCTCAAGAGTGGGTCAGCATGGACTAGAAAAGGACTGGAGGCAGAGTCTGACCTTGTCTCTCCAACATCCCCTGCTGCCCTCCCACCTTTCCCCAGGGGAAGACGCAGTAAGAGAACCTGCCAGCTCCAGAGCCCCTGACCGTAGGAAATGGCTTACTATTCATTTTAAGTTACCCAGCGTCTGGTGTTCTGTTACAGCAACACAGCACAGCCCAAGACACTGCCCTTCAGAGGACTATTTAACCAGAGTGGAACCTGCCCAGAGAAAGGGAAGTCCCCAGCTCCAGCCAGCTCCAACCGCCCTGCTTTAACAAGCAGAGGAAAATGGAGGTGCACATGAGGTCTGCAGTGCGAGGCACAGCCTCCCTGAACAGAGCCCTGACCCCTCCGCTGGCCACTCCACCGAAGGCGGTTCACAGCAGCTCCTCTCCACGGCTGGACACACAAGAGCAAGGCCTACTGAAAGGCCAAAGCGAGTTTTGTAGAGACCAAGCCAGCATCCAAAGTGGATGTGGCAGGGATGCTGCACGATCAGACAGAAGCTGTGACAGCCAGTCAATATGTGAGGGCCTCCCTGCGGACAGGTAGGCAGCCAGCAAGAGCAGACCTGGGAGACAGAGTCTAGCAGTCCACTTTCAGGACACAGAATTCAGCCTTCAATGTGAAACTCCTGGGGATGTACGCACAGCCTCGAGGGGAAAGGCACGGGCGCCGCTCAGAGCAGCACCACAGCCGCAGTGTGGCGGGTTCAGAGTCCATGCACCTGAGCAGCCCTTGACACACAGGAGGCAGGGACGCAGATGGCCTGGCCAACAGAGACAGAAATTCTTCTGTTATGCATTTTTAAAAAATAAACCAATAGGAGACAGTAAAACCTAGGTGACATCCCAGAAGACTGTGTACCACATTGCACTTGGCCAATGGGGGACTGGGGAACAGTTAGGGCACAGTTCCCCATTGGGAACTGGGGAACGGAGTAGGGCACAGCATACTCTCTGTAACCTCTGAGTGCGCCTGCTGCCCAGATGCCAGATCCTACAAGACCAGCCTGAAGTCTCGCTTCCCTGCACCTCGTGTCTCCCAGTCGATCGCTGGGTCTGGGCAGATGTGTTTCTCACGGACAGATAAGGCGAGCAGAGAGATGGAAGTTCTAAGAAAGAACAACAAAAACGCTAGAGAGGAAAGTGTCCCAGAAAAGAGTGGCTGCGGTGGCGCACACCTGTATTCCAGCTACTGGGAAGCTGAGGCAGGAGGATGGACGTTAAGGCCAGCAGGGGCCACCTGGTGAGACCTTATCTCAAAACAAAACAAAAATGGCTGGGATGTGGCTCGGCGGTGGAGCACCCTGGGTTCCAGCCGAGGTACACAAGACAGTGCTTGGTGGCTCACCACTGAGCAGACAGTGGAGAACACTCTTGCACTGAGGATCTGATGGCAGAAAGTTCCAGAAATGAAAAGCAGAATGAGTGAAGCCTGGAGAGAACAGAGCATCAAGGACTGTGGGACCCCAGAGGAGTGCAATGGTGGTTCACAGCGCTCCCCCCATGCTGCGGACGAGCCCTGCTGCCCGGCTCCTCCCTCACCTCAGGGAAGCAGGTCACCTTTCTTCCCATCCCAGGCAGAGTCATCTGTCCTTGAACACCCACCACAGGAGCCAAGCGATTCAGCCTGGGGAAGGCCCCAGAAGACCTCAGACTGTCCCCCAGATGAACAGGCGAGTTACAGCGCTGACAGAGAAGGTGGGGCGCTGCCCCAAGTCGCCTCTTTAAAGCCCCCTGCTCTCCCCACGGGCAGATTCGCAGCCTCCGGGACGGAAGTCCCTGTCTTCTCCTTTGCTTGCTCAGCAATGCAACTTCTTTTTCCTTTTTCTCAAAACTGTTTCCTAGTGATTGGATTGACATGGGGGATAAGGAGCTTTCAGTAACAGGAGCAGGAGGAGGGGAGAGGGACAGAGGCAGTGCCTGAGTGTGTCCCCAGTCATTGTCAGACTCCAGACCACGGCTCAGGGCACCGGAAGGCACTACACCTGGGCAGCCACTGTCAAAGAGGAAAGTCCTGCAAGCAGCTGGGGGAAGAGGGGTGCTGACAGGAGCCTCCACCAGGAGCCTGCACATGCCAAGCCACCCTCAAAGTGGAGGCTTCCTCATCAAACAGAAGAGCCCAGGCGTCTGCGGCCAGCACCTGCCTTCCAGGAAATGCCGAAAAGCTTCTCAGAGAGAAGCAAATGGTGAAGGTCAGAAACTCGGATCTCCGTGAAGAGGAAGCACATGGAAGCAAGACGAAGTGGAGGTCAAACAGACGGTCATTCTCCAGGGCCTGGTGCAGAGGCAGAGCCTGCTCCACGTGCCCCAGGCCCTGAGGCTGGTCCCTGGGCCACAAATGAAAACAGGCAAGCAAACAAAAGACCCCCAATGGCACTCTTCCTTCCTCCTGAATCTAACAGACCCTTTGTTCAAACTGACACGACTATTCCTGCTTATGTGTGAGGGAACACAAAGAGCGGCCCCTGCGGCCCGCCAGCTCGGCGGGGTCAGGCCGAGGCGGACTCCAGGGCACCAGCTGTACCAGAGAAAACCAAGCTGGGTATGTTAAG